ATCAATGAAAGTTAGACAGAGCAGCATCTTGAACTCCCGAGAAACCTCAATGAGCTTAGTTTTAGTGTGGATATGATCGATTGTGCTGAATCCTTTTCAGAAACTGGCTTGCTCGCATGGTTGTCCTTCATCTAGTGTTCTGCCAATCCTGTTCAAGATGACTCAAATGAACAGCTTGTAGACAAGAGAAAACAGGCAGATCGAGCAATAGTTGCCAATGTCGTGGATGTCTCCCTTCTTGTACAGTAGTACAAACCTGCTGGTTTTCCACTGGGACAGAACCTTGCATTCAGACAGGTAGTGTATGAAGAGCTGAGCCAGTGTATTGATGAGTACTGACGGCAAGTTCTTCAGGTGTTCAGGACTGACCTTGTCTGGGCTGGGTGCTGTTCGTTTCTTTACCGACAAAATGGCGTGTCGGATTTCGAAGGGAGAACACTGGAAATGACATATCCATCCTGCGGAATTTGGTATGTGGGCAGGTGGACGTGGCTGTCAAAGAGATCCGAGTAGAAGTCATGGATAATCTTCTCCACTGCCCTTCTGGAAGATGTGATAGATCCATCAGGACGTCGGAGGGCAGTCATCTTGGTCTTGTAGTTGGCGAAGGACAGGTGGGCGTTACAAATGCTTTTCCCAGCTTCTACCACATCTGCCAGTACTGCTACTCTTCTCTCTTTGAGGTCTTCCTTTATCGCTACTCTGCACAGCTTTGCGAGCTCGGACGTTTGCTTGTGGATGTGACTATCTCTTGACGTTCTTCACACAATCATGGAGGTACTGAACAGTCAATCGTATTCCTCCTCAATGTTGTCAACAACTGCATCTTCCCATGTTGCCGTAATAGTGCCAAAGAGCTCCCAGTTGGTCATTCTGGGAGTTCTCTTCTTAAACTTTGCAGTCCTCTCTCCCTGCTCTGTGAAGTAGAATTTCGAACAAAGGAGATGGTGGTCCTATCCCGTTTGGAATTTTGGGACAATAGCGACATCGGTCAGGCAAGACTGTCGATCGAATATGATGTGGTCAATTTCGTTGTGGAACTGTCCACCAGGAGACTCCCATGTCCAACGTTTAGATTCGGCCTTCTGAAATTGTGAGTTACCATGGTCATGATGATGAACTTAGAGGTCTTGGTCAAGGTCTTGGTCAAGATGATGAACTCAGACAGTCTCTCACCCTGTTCGTTCCATTCTAGGCCATGGGTCCCGATGTGGAGTTCTTCAGTTTATCTTCTCGGTCCTATCTTGGCATTAAAATCACTGACAATGATCTTGTAGAAGGTGTGGTCTTCTTTACAGAACTTCTCCAGCTCCATGTAGAACTTACCAATTTCTCCATCATATGTTGGTGCATAGACAACGAAGATAGAAACTGATAGTGAGCCACATCTATTCAAGTGTAATCATCCGATTCAGGTTGTTAGGCATTCAAATGAATCAATGTTTATGGCCAAGTTCGTGTTGACAAGGACAATGACACCACCAATGCCTCTTTTGTCGCATGTTCTAAAGAACAGGTCTTCTCCAGTGTCAAAAATGGCGTGATGTGATTGATGCCTTCTCATGTCGGTCAGACCAATGATGTTGTACTTAATCTTTTGCACTTGCACCATAAGGTCCTAAATGGAAGCATCCGATGCCAGCATACGTGCATTGAAAGTACAGCTAATTATTTTTGTCCTTCTTTGTTTTGGCAGCCTAGTTCAGCCCTGAGATTTTTTATCAGCCTCTCCTTCTTCATCCTTCTTAACGCTGCTGTATTGATGGCTCTTTCAGGGTCAGGGGAATGAGACCCATTGTATATACTGGTTTTGGCATATCGAATACATAGAGGCTTTTTGGGCGGCCTCTAATCATCCTTGCAGGTGTTCCCATGGTTCAAACCATATTTGAACCCCATCAAATATGGTGCAGTAATCTTGTATTAAGTGTTTTATGATGTGTCGTGTGGCCGCAAAGTGGCCGTAGAGTCCAGAGAGCGTCCTGGAGCGTGGCGGCGGCTGGGTAGTGGAGGTAGTGGAGGTACTGGAGGTCTGCCGGGCTGCTGGAAGCAGGCAGAGGATCTCTGTTCCCGGGTCCATTGAGCCTGGAGTCCAAGGTCACAGAGTTCTGCTTCCCTGATTCTGTGGGGCTTTACTCGTGCTTGAGTCTTGGCCCAAGTGTCTGGAAAGCATCCTGAAGCATGTCTGCGGCTGGGTAGTGGAGGCAGTGGAGGTATTGGAGGTCTGCCGGACTTTAAATTTTAAATCTTTAAAGACTGATTATTCTTTTATTTTTTCTTTTTGGGTCACACCTGACGATGCAGAGGGGTTACTCCTGGCTTTACACTCGGGAATTACTCTTGGTGGTATTCAGGAAACCACATGGGATTCTGGGAATCGAACCCGGGTCGGCCGCATGCAAGGCAAACACCCTACTGGCTGTAGTATCGCTCTAGTCCCAGACTGTATTTCTTAGGTTGACTGAGTTACACATGTAATGACTTCTTCTCTTGACATGTTCTTGACTATTAACTGATGATTCCTTCACGGATTTTTCACTTTTTGTTTTACTTAATCTTTACTGAGATACAACACTGTTAATACTAGTTTAATGAAAACATTATTTCAAAAAACACCCATCGCCAGAGTGCCCCCTCCCCTCCACCAAGGTCCCATAAGCCTCTGCCTTTCAACTCCTCACATTCCATCCTGCAAACTCAAATCTTTGGTTCAACTCTCCAATTTCGTTGTCTCTGGCCCTTTGTTGCTCCCTTACTGTGTTAACTTTAAATCCCACATATAGCAGGTTATTATTATTTATCCCTTTCCTTCGAATGACTTTACTCAGTATGATACCCTCTAGTACCAGCCAAGTTGAAGTAAATAACATGATTTTATCCTTTCTTACAGCTGTATAGTATTCATCATAACTTTTTGATCCATTCATCCATAGTGGGCATTTGCATTTCCATATCGTGGCTGTTGTATTAAATACTGCAATGAACACAAGTGTGCATATATCCTCAAATGGATTTTTAAAGATAATTCCAAGATTCCCACAGAATTCCGTTGGTATTTTGATAAGTACTGTGTTAAATCTTTAATTTCATCTAAGAACTGAATATTAGAATATTTAGATTTCCTACTCAAGATATTAGTATGCCAAACCATAACAATCTTTACCCCTATTTTTCTTTTTTATGGATGAATGGAAAAAATGGATGGATAGCAGCTTCTTCATAAGAAAATAAAGCATTTCTTGGCAGGGCAGAAGTGTCTATCTTTTGCTTATAGCTATCATGAACGGGATTTCACCCTATAAGGTAAAGGTAAAGGTAAAGGCCCTCCCGTTGATCGTCGATTTGCTCGAGCGGGCCCAGTAACGTCTCCATTGGAGACTTTGTTGTTACTGTGTCTGGCATATCCAATACTCTCGGTAGCTTGCCGGGCTCTCCGAGAGGGGCGGAGGAATCGAACTCGGGTCGGCCATGTTGGCCGCTTGTAAGGCGAACGCCCTACCCGCTGTGCTATCGCTCCAGCCCTCACCCTATAATTTGTAAGTAATTTATCATTAGTAATCTGCAAATTGTTGGTCCTTCTAAGAGTTCTTTTGTTCTCTTCTATTTCCTATTTTATGGTTCTCTACAGGCCTTCAAGAACTTTAAGTAACAATGATGACCAACCACATACTTTTTTAAAAAGTTACAATGTTTTCAACAATGCTAACAGATGTGAGCTCTCAGATCTAGCTTCCTGAGTCACTCAAACAACCTAGCCAAAATGTCTCCTTGACCCCAGGCCTCCTGGCATTCTGCCATTCCAGGAGCATGAAATGAGACACACAGAATAACACTAGGTCTGTACTTCAACCTAAGTGCACATCAAATAAACCTAAAACAAGACATTTAAAAAAGAGTAATATATCTTTCATTATACTTCATCCCATCTGCCTGAGAGATATTGTTGGGGGTAGAAGGAAACGTAACAAGGGACCACATTATAATCCTATGTGATTTGTAGCATCCATCTCTACCAAGTTTGAAAATTATCTGAGATGTTATACTTTCCTTCAGTCCAAAATTTAGGTTTTGGTACAGTGACTGAAACTAACAGATAGTCAAAAGCATGCTTGTTAACAGCTAACCTTCTGTGATCTTGAAGCAATGGACTGTCCTCTCTGAGACTTAGTTTCCTTATCAATAAAATGGCAAATACATACAAGTTTGTTTCATGAACAAGAAATGTGAATATGAATCACTTATCACACTGAATATTAAACAGCATTATCATCAACGCTTACATAGCAGTTTGGTAAAAGGTAGTCAAATTTCAAATTGTACATGTAAGGATTTGCTTGAGCGGGCCCAGTAACATCTCCATTTTAAGACTTCTTGTTACTGTGTTTGGCATATTGACAATATCAGGGGGAGCTTGCCAGGCTTTGCCATGCAGGCGAGATACTCTTGGTAGCTTGCCGGGCTCTCCAAGAGGGGCAGAGGAATCGAACTCATGTTGGCCGTGTCAGCTGTGTGCAGTATCTCTCAACAATAACGCCCTACCCGCTGTGCTATCGCTCCAGCCGTTGACTAATGTATAAGGGCTCTTAAAACAGAATTATTTTAATTATTATTTATTATTTATTATTTAATTATTATTATTATTTAATTATTATTTAATTATCTCAGCATTATTTTAATTATTTTTATAAATCACATGTTTTATGCTTAATCTAAAAGCATATCCCCTAGGATAATATTAGGTACATTGTAAGTGATGAGTATTAATTGACCCAATAAGCAAAATAAGCAAACATACTTCAAGTTACTGAATTATAAACTATTACAACACCTGAGACTTAATTCTAAGTGAGCCTCAACACCTCAACTTAGTATGAACTGACAAATTCCTTGACCCTCATAAAAAATCACTGTCTAAACAAAGAAATGCAATATTTAAGTTTACCTTATCTTACTAAAGGAAAGTCTACATGCTGCCATGAAATAAAAGAAATGTACTGTACCTTTTCCTTCCCAGGCATCAAAGGCATCCATCATTTTCTTCAACTCTGCTACTGAATAATAGCTCCAAATGTACTGAACATTATTTCCCGCCTCTCTAGAAATAGTGCAAAAAAAATCTTAAAAAAATTACTACCTAGGTATGAATGTATATAAGTGTCTGTAAATATATACATTATGTCATTATGTCAGCTAGACAAAGTATGTATGTTATAATGAGTAAACAATAAATGCTTGTTAATCAAGAATAAAACATATTGACCCAGCAATACCACTCCTGGGAATATATCCCAGAGAGGCAAAAATGTATAGTCGAAGTGACATCTGCACTTGTTTGTTCATTGCAGCACTCTTTACAATAGCCAGAAACTGGAAGAAACCTGAATGCCCAAGAACAGATGACTGGTTAAAGAAACTTTGGTACATCTACACAATGGAGTACTATGTAGCTCTTAGAAAAGATGAAGTCATGAAATTTACATACAAGTGGTACAATATGGAAAGTATCATGCTAAGCGAAATGAGTCAGAAAGAGAGGGATAGACATAGAAAGATTGCATTCATCTGGGGGATATAAAGTAACAAAGTATGAGATTAATACCCAAGAATAGCTGAGATCAGCACCAGGAGGATTACTCCATAACTTAGAGGCCAGCCGGGTATCCTAGAGGAAAGGGCTGTTCAGATAGAGAAGGGAGCACCAAATAAAGGATGTTTGGAGGATCCTCCCAGGAGGGGAGATGCATGTCGAAAGTAGACTATGGACTGAACATGTTTGCCATTCAATGCCTCTTTTGCAGACCACAACACCCAAAAGGAGAGAGAGAACACAGGGGATTGCCCTGCCACAGAGACAGGGGGGATGGGGGGATGGGGGTGGGAGGGATATTATCCATGGTGGTGGAAAATGGGCACTGGTGGAGGGATGGGTATCTGATCATTGTATAATTGAAACCAAAGCACAAAAAATTGTAAATCTACAACTTTAAAAAAAATAAAATAAAATAAAGGGAAAAAAAAAAGAATAAAACATATAGGCATAGAATACTTCTGTATTTTTAAGCATAAATATATGTGAGTAGATACAAAAGTATATCAATACACCATAGTTATATACTAATCTAGCTTTATTTTTTGTTTTGTTTTATTTTGTAGGTCACTCCCAGTGATGCTTAGAGGTCACGTCTGGCTCTGCATTCAAGAATTCTCCTGGTGGGGCTGGGAGGACCATTATGGAATGCCAGGGATCAAACCCAGGTCGACTGTATGCAAGGCAAGCATCCTACCTGCTCTGGTCCCACAATTAGCATTTTAAACTGTAATAAAGTATTTATTAATTTCACAATATAGAGCATACAGACAAATCACTAAGTACTTAAATTTTATTTTTTAAAAATAAGTCAAATCTAGTAAAATTAGAAAACATTCAATCATTTCTAAAACTTTTCTAATGGTTTGCCAGCTACTTAACATATCTTACCTAGAAACATTTTGATTGACAAGGAACTGAGAAGCAGATGATACACTTAATTACCAAAAGACAAGTACACATAACTCACTGAGTTAATATTCAGTGTGATAAGTGGTTCATATTCACATTTCTTGTCCAATTCAACAGCCCAGGAAATTACGAAAAAGAAAAGTGAATTAACCCTCACTATTTTAAGAATTTTCTTTAAAGTTCAAATCATTGGATTTGAAAGCTGGGAGGGACAGGGAAGCCTTTCCCCAGTTCTCAGTACAGGTTACTCACAAGAGGCCAGCAGGAGGGTCCTGGGTTACTAAAATGCACTGCTACATTCCCAGATCACTGATTTACACGCCAGACTGTGGTCTTAGGAAAGAACCCAGGTGTGGCATTTTGCCAGTCTTATCCCTCTTCCCTTTCTGCAAATAAAACTTCACAGTACATCCTGAAGTCCACCCCTGCTGGAGAACCACTATCCTAGACCTTGTATTTGGGAATGGGCCTCTTGCTGCACTAATATCCCAGCAGTGGGGTGATACTTAGCAGCCAGGGCCAGTTGATTGGGCTGGATCTGTTGGGAAGGGATGGATGAGGAGTAGGAGGGGAGAGTGGTACTGGAGATTGAGCCCCATGTATGTAAGGCATGTGCTCTCACCCTCTGAGCTATATCCTTAGCTCCAGACCTCAGGTTTTATATATAAGAAATATAATTTTAAGTTCCTTATGAAGCAGGCCTGTCTCCAGCTATCAGGGCTCATTCCATCTGCTGAGAGATGTTGATGGTTTTTTCCAGTCAAACATAAAATCCACTTGCTAACACCTCATTAAAGAGATCAACACTTTTTGTTCTTTTTCTTATTTAAATATGGACATACCTTTTAAAAATGCTTTTACTGTGAATTCGTCCTCCCAGCTGCTTATCAATAGCATCTGTTCCATCCGTTTTGGTGGCATAGACACCAATAATCCTACTCTCACAGCTTGCACCGGATGTGTTAAGATAGTGGAGGACCCAAACTGTTGGTTTATTGCAAACTAAACCATATGAATCACAGAAGTCTGTTAAAGCCTAAAGCAGAAAATATATATAAAATTTGAGTTTAAGCCTGGAGTACAGTAAAATGAATTTGCACTACTACTTTCATATAAAGCTTCACTTTCATTTTGGTCAAAAGGGAAATAAAAAGATTATAAATTTCAGACTAGTCTATATACCTTTAAAAACTCATCATGCATTGCTGAAGTGGATTGGGAGTAAGGGGAGAATGTCACAGAAAACATTACCCAAAGAATAATACCAGAATTTTTCTACACAGAAAATCTAGAGAATCCATTCCATACTGAATAACAGTCTATTTCTTTCTCTCAGCCTCACCACTTTAAAAACTTCCTAGAGTAATTAAACACTAGCTTAAAGAGGAAGCTTTTCCTCTTCCTTGCCCCAATTTCTCATTTGACTTACTCTTCCTTTCACCTTCTACTGACTAGACCTATGGTTGATGGTTCCAATGTCAAATCAAATTACAGATTAACTAGATTAACTTTTTGTTTTAAATAAGGATATATGAACTCCCCTGCCAGGATAACACAGCAGTAGGGCGTTTGCCTTGCGCGTGGCCAGGTTCGATTCCTCCACCCCTCTCGGAGAACCCGGCAAGCTACCAAGAGTATATCGCCCGCACGAAAAAGCCTGGCTAGCTACCCGTGACGTATTCGATATGCCAAACACAGTAACAACAAGTCTCACAAAGGAGATGTTACTGGGCCCGCTTGAGCAAATCGATGAACAACGGGAGGACAGTGCAGTGCAGTGCTATATGAACTCACTGTACTCATTAGGCATTTGTTTGCTCACTTGAATATTAAGTACCTAATGTGTGCTAAGGTCTGGAGATAAAAAGTGAACAAGAATCCTTCTAGAGTTTATAGCTAATGAAGAAAACAGTGATAAAATAAGCCATTAGTGCATAGGAAGTGCTACCTGGTGAAATGACCAGCTGATCAGGAAAAGAGCAGGAGAGTTCCTGGGTACTGGGGAAGGGAGCAATGAGGGATGGGGCTTCCCTGAGGAAAATGGCACTGGCATGTGACAATCTCAAGGACAAGCACACTTGTCTTGTTTTATTCACTGCACCATTCCCAGTACCTGGAGTAGTGCTTGATACTAAGGAGAAGCTTAACATTTCCTGATTCAGTGAGCAAAAACAGGGCTCTAACCAATCCTGCATTTTCGTTTCATTTCAGCTAACTCCTGTGCTGGCCATTAACTTTACTTGCACATCTCCGAGAATGCCCAACTACATTACACTGTCCAAGGACAAGGTATGTTGTATTTTTTTTATGTCCCACACTCTCTAGTACAGTGCTCTATACCACAGACAATTCACATAAATGTGTACTGGCTGACAGAATGAATGTGAGGTGTTCCTTTTGAATATAAACCAGGAATAGCGCAGGGACTTCAGAAGATGAATATCAATCCACTGCCATGTTCTGATCAGGCATTTGGGACAGCTTCCGCAGATGTGCAAACAGCACCGTTAAGATTGCCTGACAGACAACTCAATTTATAACTTGAGCAGCAAAACCCACGGAGCCAGACAAACTCCAGTCAGAGATCTGCAATCAAGTCACTGATCTCGTCAAAGCTGCACTCCTAATAGCCAGGCTACAGCTTGCTCTACTAAACATTAACATCTAATTCAAAGCATTCAAATCAATCCAAACCATATTTCATCATTAACAATTATCTGGGAGTAAAAAAACCTTGCTTGCTCAAAGGACCAATTACTAGAAATATAATTATATCGATAAGATAAAGCAGTGAAGTCTTGCTACAGATAAAAAAAATTAATTTTACTGTGCTTACTTTAGCAGCGGCTGGAGCGATAGCACAGCGGGTAGGGCGTTTGCCTTGCTCTCGGCCAACATGGCCAACCCGAGTTCGATCCCTCCGCCCCTCTCGGAGAGCCCGGCAAGCTACCGAGAGTATTCGATATGCCAAACACAGTAACAACAAGTCTCACAATGGAGACGTTACTGGGCCCGCTGGAGCAAATCGATGATCAACGGGAGGGCCTTTACCTTTACCTTTTACCTACTTTAGCAGCGCACACAGGAAAACTGGACATACAGAAAACTCAGCCTGGCTCCTTGCATACTTTTCACACAAATATGGAAAGTACTCCATAAAGAGATGGATTTATCTCAAAGTGAACTACTCAGGACTGATATTTTAACAGTAACGAACTGTTCCACTCACTAAATAAGATATAAGCTGTCAATGCAACATATTTTACCCAATTATATCATTTTTACCATTCTTTAAAAAACTCATCACAGTCAACAAAGTAATACATTATGCCCTCACATTCATAATTTTAAAAGAATTTGAAGAGCAAAATAATTCTACAAAAGCACCATCAGAATATGTTAAATCTTCAAGTGAGTAATAAACACTTCATAAGCCTTGGAGTGGAAATATAAGATACTTTTCTTGAATAGCATTTTGGCCTTGAAAATATGAGGAGTAAGAAATGTGTCTTCAAAATTTATTTTAAAAGATTAGCTCATTGAAGTTTTATGTGAAAAGATAGGCTGTGAAAAATAATACACACTGCATTGTGGATATAAATGTTCAATAAATAAAAAAATATATATATACATATATGTGTGTGTGCATATACATATATTAAAACTTAAGAAAATGCCAAGACCTTTTTAAGTTCTATATTTGACCTTAAAGAATATGTCTCCATTTCATTGGCCAAGTGATCAGAGAGGCAATATGGATAAGGGATGCCAAAGTAATCAGCCTCTTCCTGTAATGCAACTCGAGTCTGCTCATCTGCGGGAATGTGAACTTCTCCATGAAGATAATCCAAAAGGTACTTAAACAGCTGTCCATCACGGTCAATAACACAAGCCCCTAGAAAAGAATAAGTTCAAAAATGATTGCACACAGACACTTAATGAAAGTCAATAAAATTTCAAGATGTGGGACAAAAAATCAGACTAAGGGACTTGGTAATTAGAAATACTTCTTTTGGGGCCAGAGTGATTGTACAGTGGGTAGGACATTTCCCTTGCACGTTGACGACCTGGGTTCGATCCCGGGCATCCAATATGGTCCCCGAGCACTGGCAGGAGTAATTCTGAATACAGAGCCAGGAGTAACCACTGCGCACCACCATGTGTGACCCAAAAAGCCAAAAAAAAAAAAAAAAGGAATGCTTCTTAATATCTGTTGTTCAAATAGGTTAAGTCCAATTTGGTGATCCTCTGTCTTCTTCTTACCACAGACAAAATGTATTCTGAGCAACATTTGAAACGTTGTGGGCTTGTTTTGTTTTGTGTTTTCATTTGGGGGAAGCGGGGAATGGGTCAAATCCAGAATTGCTCAGAGCTTACTACTTGCTGTATTCAGGGATCATTCTTGGTTAGGCTACAAGACCATATGGGGTGCCAGGGATCGAAGTCAGGTAGGCTGAGTGCAAAGCAAGCTCCCTAGCTGAAATCTCTCTCCAGTATCCTGTTTGGAACTTTGGATACAATGACAGATTTTGACTATGGCCACTGCAAAACCATGGAGATCTGGGACTAACTGCTGTTAGAATAGGAAGCTACCTCTTAGTCATAACCCAGCTGAGCCAGGAAAAGATCAAATGAGAGCACAACAGTACTTGCTGCGATGTTGTATCACCAACATACAAACACTGGCACTGGCTTCCTAACTCCAGCCAGGTCGTATGTTAGGACTTACAACACTGCAACTGAAAGATCCTCAACTTTAAAAGAAAAATGTTGTGCTGGTATCACTTTTTGATAAAAAGCTTATTCTTAAGACAATTTTGCAAGATTACAATAAAATGATATTTCTATGTGAAGTTTCTTGATAATGCCTTTTCTCCTTTGACTTGTTTAGAAAAGGAAGAGATTTTAAAAAAGTAAAACTTAGGGGTATGGAGTTAGCTACAAAGAAGTGGAGTACATGCCTTGTTTGTGTAAGGCCTTGAGTTTTAATCCCCAGCACTATATGATGCCCCATCCCTACCACCAGGAACAGGACTGTTGGGCCAACACAGGTCCCTATCACAAGGCTGAGTATTCACCAGCAACCTTTTTGTCCAGAGGGGCATCAAAGGCCTAAACACCAGTCATTGCTACCTTTTTCTTCCAACTACCACTCAGATGGTAAGGCAACGTCTCAAGACTCCATAATCCCGTTCTTCTAATACAAAACAAAGAGTGAGTTCACAAAGTCCTAGTATCAATTAAGAAGTGAAAAAAGCGGCACTTGCATTGCTGAAGTTTCTTTACAACCAGTAACAGGTTCACTGAATCCCAGAGCCCTCAAAGAAGAGAACTCTCCCTCAAAACCCCAACCTGCAGTTTCTTCAAAACACCAGTTTTCAGTTCCTGCCAGGGGTGATAAATGGTCTCATGCTATTTTGGTAGCCCTACACCTCAGTTCATGCAAGGCTACATGATTAGACAAGGTGGGATGCTTAACACGATGCCCACACCGACAGTGACGGCCCTATCTGCTAGGAGAGTAACTGCTTTCTCCAGAGGAGGTGGGAGAAAGCCACCTTCACTTCCCTTCAAGATCACAGACATAAGAAACATATTTAATCAGCCTCAACCCCTTTGCCCAAGGCATTGTGGGCATGTTAACAACTTTCAAAACATAATTAAATCCCATCATGAAGTCACTGTTGCCTTTTAATGCCAACTTACCTTTCACTTTTTGTCAACTTTGACAGCATCACAGATTCTAAAAACATCTATTTAATTTCCCTGTGTACTTTATGATAAATCTTGTACTTCCATCTAAGTATTAATATACTAATACACTCTGCTGTCATTAGGAAAATCAAGAGGAATACAGACTAGGCTCAGATTTGAATTAGTATTCATACTAATACTTGGAAACTGTCGATATTTACCTGATTCATCTGTTTTTAGAGGAAAACGACCACTAAACATGGATGCTAACATTGAGTCCTTGAAGCGGCACAAGGACTCACGTCTCGCTGTGTAAATGCAGCCACCCACATTCAGTCGAAGGACTTCTAATACGTCCTCTTCTGCCTTCTGACCTTCCATTGTTTCCATGGACATGTTACTTTTTTGCCTTGAAAATTTTTGTAATTGCAAAATGACTTCGGTCCGGTTTCCCTCTGTAAAAAAAAAAGACAATCACTACGATGGTTCTTTCCAACACTGCTCTAAACAGATAATAAAACAAACATACTTTAAAAAGGAGTCTGAGATACAACAAGCAGCTGGAAAACTTTGGCTCAGGGGATTTTTAAAAGATAATTAAGTATTACAACCAAATTATAGCTGCTGCTGCACTGTTGAAAGAATTAAACAAGATAATGCGTAGTCTGACACACAAAAAGCAGATGTGAGGTGCATTTATGATCTGTAATAGAGACTTAGCTTTTTAAAGTCTGAGGAAGCTCTAGACTGCAGATGGAGCAAGGAATGAGACTGCCTTGCTTTAGCACTTACAAGCTTGGATCAGTGCTTCTCTGCCCATTTTTCTAAACTATAAAATGCATCGCAGTAACTGCGCCTGCCTCGAAAAACTACCAGAGGAACAATTGACAAGTATAAAATGTATGTGGCACAGTCTGTCTCCAATTAAGTATTTAATAAATGATAAATATGATGCAAAATTACATACACTTTACCATAAAGTTTATAACCGAAGACCTTGATCTGGAGATTTAAGGAAACAAAAGAGCAGAAATTAGCAGAAAATGTGATTCTTAAGAAGCAAGGGACTATATATTTTATCAGTTGAGATCAACCCCATAAGGCTGGTCTGGTCTAAACAACAATAACTATTTCTAAATCACCCCCTGGTTTCTTCACTCTCCAAATGGCTGAAGCTTTAGGGAAAGTTGGCTCTAATACCTAATCCATTCTGGAGACGGAGCAATTGTTCATGGCCTTTCTCTGAATCATATCTAGCTCAATGACTTAGAAGGCACTCCAATAATGGACAGTCCTGAGTCTACACACTTTCTAGCAACTGCAAAATGGCTATTGCTGCTCAACTACAGTATCCACACCCAGCAAACCTGGTATCCAAACCCAGCACTCCAATTACACACTCAATCAGGAGCTGTTTGGAAAGGCTTTACCATTTAAGGCAGCCCCAATGACAGGGGATAGGACGTTAAGAAGACCACCTGGGTCAAATATGGTCGGTGGACAAAACTCACCAAGTCAAAGACACAACTTTCAAAAATCATCTATGGATGTCACCTGTGGGGAGCTGCCCAGATAGCCTGGGCACAGCACCCAATGCCAGCCTGAGAGCACACCTCTGAGTCACCTACTAGAACTGGTTTGCCAAATCCCATGGATTCCTCACAGGGTGGGGTACACTACCTGCATGGCCTTCCCGGGTACACTCCCTCCTAGAATCCTGACACAGGTCTCCATAGTTTGTACCTCTGTTCACCATATCTTATCTCACGTGTTTAATCCCCCGATCACGGAGAGCTCTCAGGCCTGAGAAAACAAGGCCAGCATCACATTGTCCAACCCACAGGATGCTCACACGTGACGCCCTTGGGAACCAGGTCTGCCACACGCACAGCCCGAGTGGGCAGCAAGCTCTGTCCCTACTGACAGAGGACACCTGAAAGAAGCGAGTCGTGTGAGGGCTCCAGCGCACTGTCCTGCTACAAAGTGGAGTCGCCAGGAAACCGAAACCGGGCCCGCGGGACCGAGTTCAAGTTCTGCCTGCTGCACCGTACACCATCTCACCTCAAGGCTCCTTGCCTTGCCACTCACCCAGCAGTCACCCGGCAAGCTCAAGACTCCCGCTCTGGAGAGCCAGGACTGAGGGACACCCCCCACAGGAGAGGTCCCGGGGCCACCATATCCAGGCCAGCCGCTGGCCCCTCCCCCCGCAAATGCACCCACTGAGCCTCCCCGCCGCGTCGGGAGTGGCCGGGACCGGGGAGTGTCTCCACGGTGAGGACCTGGAACCACCCACTTCCATATTAATCCGGGAGTTTGGGGGGTGGGGGGTGGGAGGAGAGGGTAGAAGCCCGCAGTGAATGCAGATTTCCGGGCCCCGGCACCGAGCCGGGCGGCGTGGGGAGTCCTGTCTGAGGGTCCCCACCAGGCTGAGGCGAGGCCAAAGACAGTCACACGCCTCCCAGGAAAACAGCACAAAACGGGGGGAGGGGCGGAGACACCCGAAAGCCCCGCCCTGAGTCTCTCCGAGGCCCGGGATGCCGAAAGGGCCGGAAGCCCGAGCCTTCAGCCGAGGGGCGCCGGTGTTGGCGGCGCGGCCCGGACCCCGCCTCCCAGACCCACGGCGCACCCCGCGCCCCGCTCCTGGGCACGGGCGGGTTCGGGGAGGCGGCCACCCCGACTGACCTGCGGCCCGCCCGGCCGTCGGTGCGGCCGCTGGACGCCGCGGGGCCCGACGCGGAAGTGACCGCCCGCTCGGCTGCTCGGCAACTCGTGCCGCGGCGCTGCCCCCGCGGCGCCCCCGTGCGGCCCGACCCGGCGGCGGCTGCGCCCGCGCGGGAAGCCCCGCCCCGGACACGCCCCCTCCCGCGCCCCTCCTGGGGCTGCTCCCGCCCTGGCCGCGTGGGGAGAGACCTAGGCAGAAATTAGGCGGTCCAGGGCTGAATTCTGAGTTGCCTGGCAGCTCTTACACAAAAGCAGGGATCCGTTAATAAATGGCAAGAATTAGCATAGATCTTTTTACACCCAGGTCACAGGGCTCAGTAACAAGATTTCTCAATCTATTGCCCAGGCCAGGCGATTCCGTGCTGCTAGGGCACACCCCGCCCCGTCCCCCCCCCCCGCCCCCCCCCCCCCCCCCCCCCCCGCCCGTGGCGCTGGCGGAGAGTAGGAGCAAACTCGAACATACTATCTCCCCATCTCTCAACCTAGAATTCGTTTGCTTTTTGTGGAGGCAGTGGGGAAAGTAGATGGGAAAGAGAAAAAGGGCCACACCCTGCTGTGTTCAAAAGTGCCAGGGCAGGAAAGGGTGCCAGGGCAAGAGGGAAACTGGGGACACTGGTGGTGGGAAATGTGCACTGGTGTTGGAACATTGTATGACTGAAATGCAATCATGAACAATTTTGTAACTATATCTCACTGTGATTCAAATTTAAAAAATTTTTTTTCAGAGTACTATCTCTATGGCTCCATCAACCTGTAGCACTGTAGTAGTACTGTCCTCCCATTGTTGATCGATTTGCTCGATCGGGCCCAGTAAGGTCTCCATCATGAGGCATGTTGTTACTGTTTTTGGCATATAGAATACATCACGGGTAGCTTGCCAGGCTTTGCCCTGTAGGCGAGGGTGAGATACTCTCAGTAGCTTGCCAGGCTCTCTCTGAGGGGTGGAGGAATTGAACCTGGCTTGGCACGGCCACCTGCAAGCAAGGCAAACACCCTACTGCTGTGCTATTGCTCCAGTCCTGTATTTCTTAAGAATTCGTGATGAGCAAGATACCACACTCCCTCACCCATGACACATTCTAGTGAGCAGTCAGAAAACTCTACTACACACACACACACACACACACACATATATATGTATAATTTAGGCCATGTGGACCATATATAATTCTCAACTCTGCTGCTGCAGTGTTAAGGCTCACAAATAAGGAAACTTGTGTTCCATTTTTTTTCTTTTTACAATATGTGGGTTGAACCTAGTGTCTCACACATATGGGGAATATCTTCTACCACTCATGTACGTGTCTAGCCCAGTGTTTCAACTTGATAGTCACATGCACTGATGGGATATTTGTCTGTAGCACTGTAGCTCTGTCCTCCTATTGTTCAACCATTTGCTAGAGCGGACACCAGTAACATCTCCATTGTGAGACTTGTTGCTACTGTTTGGGGCATATTGAATACACCAGAGTTTGCCAGGCTCTGCCATGCTGGCGGGGTACTCTCAGAAGCTTGCCAAGCTCTCCGAGAGGGACAAAGGAATCAAACCCGGGTTGGCCGCATGCAAGGCAAACACCGTACCCACTGTTCTATTACTCCAGCCCGGGATATAAGTCAGAGAAATAAATCCCTTTTTTTTTTCTGTTTGGGTCACATCCAGTGATGCATAGGAGTTACTCCTGGCTTTGCACCCAGGAATTACTCCTGGTGGTGCTCAGGGGGACCATATGGATGCTGGGAATTGAACCTGGGTCAGCTGCTTACAAGGCAAACATACTACCCACTCTACTATCGCTCCAGCCCTGAGAAATAAGCCTTTGAACAATATTGTCCTTATGCAAGAGGGTCGTACAGTTTCACATGTAAGTTATATAGTAAGTTAATTTATGTTATGTATGTTGTTAAGCAATGCTTGACTGTAAGTACTTTTTTTTAATTAATTTTTATTAGTGAAGCACCATGAGGTACAGTTGTAGACTTACAATTTTTTGTGCTTGGGTTTCGATTATACAATGATCAAATACCCATCCCTCCACCCGTGCCCATTTTCCATCACCATGGATCCCAGTATCCCTCCTAATCCTATCCCCCGCATCCCACCCTGCCTCTGTGGCAGGGCATTCCCTTTTGTTCTCTCTCTCCTTTTGGGTGTTGTGATCTGCAAAAGAGGCATTGAGTGGCAATCATGTTTGGACAATAGTCTACTTTCAACATGCATCTCCCATCCTGGGAGAATCCTCCAAACGCCCTTTATTTGGTGCTCCCTTCTCTATCTGAGCTGCCCTTTCCCCTAGAATGCCCGGCTGTCCTCTAAGCCATGGAGTAATTCTCCTGGTACTGATCTCGGCTATTCTTGGGTGTTAGTCTCCTATTTTGTTACTTTATGTCCCCCAGATGAATGCAATCTTTCTATGTCTATCCCTCTCTTTCTGACTCATTTAGCTTAGCATGATACTTTCCATGTAGTATCACTCGTATATAAATTTCGTATTTTATCTTTTCTAACAGCTACATAGTACTCCGTTGTGTAGATGTACTGAAGTTTCTTTAACCAGTCATCTGTTCTTGGGCACTCAGGTTCCTTCCAGTTTCTGGCTATTGTAAAGAGTGCTGCAATGAACAAACAAGTGCAGATGTCACTTCGACTATACATTTTTGCCTCTCTGGGATATATTCCCAGGAGTGGTATTGCAGGGTCAAATGGGAGCTCAATTTCTAATTTTTTGAGAATCGTTCATACTGTTTTCCAAAAGGGCTGAACCAGTCGGCATTCCCACCAGCAGTGAAGGAGTGTCCCTTTCTCGCCACATCCACGCCAGCATCGGTTGCTTTTGTTCTTTTGGATGTGGGCCAGTCTCTGAGGTGTGAGATGGTATCTCATTGTGGTTTTGATCTGCATCTCCCTGATGATTAATGATGTAGAGCATTTTCTCATGTGCCTTTTAGCCATTTGGATTTCTTCTTTGAGGAAGTTTCTGTTCATTTTATTGCCCCATTTTTTTATGGGGTTAGATGTTTTCTTGTGGAGTTCAACCAGTACTTTATATATCCTTGATATCAACCCCTTGGACTGTAATTACTTTTAGACACACTAAAAACTCAAATTTCACATAATCTTTGCTTGCTGTATAATATTCTTTAAATTTTTTTCAAACCTAAATATTTTTTTAATGGAAAACAACTTCCATCATGGGCTGTACAAACACAATTGGCCAGCATTGACCAATTACCCATGTAATTTGCCTACTCTTGTTCAGGTGGCAGTAACAGATACTAAGCAGAATTCTTTCAGAGAATAATAATAATAGGAAGAAAACAGTCAAGATAAGGTTACTTGGAGATGAAGATATGGGCAGGAAAGACATCAATGAGGAGGGGACATCATAGCACTCAAGATGAGACCATGTCCCCTGCTGAAGAGATAGATGAAGAACATTTCAAGACCAAGTAGAGAGTCCCTAAGGCAGAAAAGAATGTGAGGATTAGTAGGAAGAGAAAAGTCACAAATATATCTGGAGCTTGGTGAGCTCAAGTCATTCTTGAATAGATTGAAATGAACTGAAGAAGCAGGAGCCAGATTAGTTGTTGTTGCTTTGTTGTTTGTTTTTTTTGTTTTGGTATTGGGGGCCACACCCAGCTCTGTACTTACTCCTAGCTCTGTGCTCAGGGATCACTTCAGGCATGGCTTAGGGGACTTTATGCAGTGTCTAGTTTCAAACCCAGGTGGGTCATGTTCAAGGTAAGTACCCCAGGAATCAGATTTTAAAACATCTTGTAACCAGGGTCACTGTCACTGTTCTCCGATTGTTCATTGATTTGTTCAAGCGGGCCCAGTAATGTCTCCATTGTGACAATTGTTACTGTGTTTAACATATCAATTACATCACAGGTAGCTTGCCAGGCTTTGCCCTGCGGGTGAGATACTTTCAGTAGCTTGCTGGGATCTTCGAGAGGGGCGGAGGAATCGAACTCGGGTCAGCCATGTTGGCTGTGTGCAAGGCAAATGCCCTACCCACTGTGCTATCACTCCAGCCCGTAACAGGGGTAAGAGCTTAAATTTTACTGTAAGAGTAATTGAAAGCTATTGGAAGGTTTTAAGCAGAAGTGGCATGATTGATTTACTTTTTTTTTTAAAGTCACTCTAGCTGCTGTAAATGAGAACATATTGAAGAGACAGAAAATGAAAATAGATTGATCTTGCAGTAACCCAGAAGAGAAATGGCATGCATACCTTATGTATCCTGTCTTGGAGATGACGAAAGAGAGAAGTGAGTAGATGCAAGAAGATATATTTAGAGAATAGAAGCACCAAAAATGTTGCTATGGATCAACTTGGATGTATCACTTCAGGTTCTCCAAGAAGTATACAGTATGGTCATATTAAAACATGCAAAAGAGCTACTGGGGAAAATAGTTGTGAAGGATAAATGAGGGATCTGGAGGGGAATAGAAAGCTTTAAACTAGATATTGATCAACCCCCTTTGAGGATAGCAAAGGAAGGATAGGGAAAGTTGAAAATAAGCTGTGGTTCTAAGAAAGTTTCTGAAAGGTCAGTAGGGAGTCTTCAACCCAATGTTGCCCATGAGTGGAGTCCTGTCTTCCAGGAATGAGCCTGCCTTGGCATCCTGGCCTTACTGGATGGACCTAGTCTGTGAGAACTGCAGCCAGGAAAGTGATAAATATAAAAGCAGAGCAACCGGTGGGCCTGATTGATAGTATAATGGGTAGGGTGCTTGCCTATCGTGTTGAATGCCCGAATTTTATCCTCAGCATCATGCATTATCTGGACCATGCATGGTCTCCATGACCCCTCTCCTCATTTCCCCCCCCCCCCCCCCCACTACCACCAACAGGAGTGATTCCTGGGAACAGAGTCAGGAGTAATTCCTGAGTGATTTTGAGTATGGCCCAAAAACAAACAAAAAAAAAGTCCAGCAACTAGGACCATGAATCAATAATACTTTAAGTAATCAGATATCTGGAAGCTGCATTTTAATGGTTGTTATGTATGGGAAATAAGAGAAAGGGGGAAATGCAGGATTGCTTCTAGATTGTTGGCA